ACCCCTTGAATAAATTATTATATAACTGAGACCAGCATAGAAGTTCAGATAGTTAAACATCCGTTAGATGCGTTAGTGTTCAACGCTTAACAGGCTGGTGCCCAATATCTTGTAAAGATGTCCTTACCACGATGCACATGTTACTATATCCGAGTAGGACGTGGATCCACGTCTTCCACCATACGCCATGATCGGCTGAAGAAAACTTTGGAAAAATCTACCCCTGCGAAAACCCCTGTGGTTAACGTTGCGCTCAGCTTGTTCAGATCTTCTGGTAGTACCTGTAATTACGCTGACAGATAAACAGTCTTCATTTAGTTCAGATTCAATTCAAAATGATTTCAAATGTAGTCCCTGTAACTCTACAATGGACACTACTGAGTTCATTCAGAATACTCTGCGAATAACCGTACTAAACATCCGACTGACGCAGGCTAATTTTCTTCATGCCTTACTCACCTCCAGCATCCTCGGACTCCTTACTGGTGAATAAGCATGGTGCTCCCAATTTCGACCGAGTGGTAGCTTGCTCCGCCTTGCGTATGCATGCCAAACATACTCGACGGTAGCCTGCACAAACCGAATCGGACTCGTCGATCACTCGCTCATCCACTGATTCTCCGAACAGATCGGTGACAATCGGTGAATCATTCGTGCAATAAAATGAATTCGGTTCTTCTGACAGGAAAGCCACACTCTGAAATGTACACAAAATGGAATGTCTTTTAGGATACACGTCAAACGGGCCGGGTGACAATGGTATGGGGTACATTACTCATTTATCACTTACATAATTATTGTCTGGTCACCAGATGAGTATAATAGGATAATCATTCAAGAGTTTACAAAGGGTGAGGAGAGGCGGTGACTCATGATGAATCGCGTCCAAATGAAGCTTTGTGCTTCGTGTACGTGGAATTTAATTCGGAATCTAATCCACTAAAACGTAGGTTTACGTCTGTGCCAAGAATGAAGAATGACGTAAAAAATCACACGGAACACTTTTGAAAGGAAGAAAACCAACAATTAGCCTGACACTTTTAGAGATCGGTTGGCCGGTGATTTTGGCAGCTACTTTAGAATTGACGAAATTCGGTGTGATAAATGACTAGGAATGACCAAGAATTACATTGCGGTTCCGGTGTTTTTTTT